CAGAGTTCCCCCATTGGGGGGAGATGGGTGGTTGAAAAATTTAATAAATAAATAAATAAAAAATGCAAAACCAGCTATTGTATACATTAATCACATCTTGCAGAGAAGAAGCACACAATCACTACTTACTTTGCCATTGCTCTCTGTCATGCTCTTTAAAAGAACTGTGCACACTCTTAATTCAAAGGCAAAAAGGTGCCTTGAAATGCATGGAGGCACCAACATAGCAACTATCTGCAACTCAATGCAGCCACCTCTTTTGCAAGGGTCATGCAGCTAACCCTCCAGAACTGCCATTTGATCCCAGGAAAATACGTATTCATTTTCAGGAGTAGTAGATGCATGCTACATTTACACCTCTGTGCAATCCAAAGAACTTTTGCCTTCTGATCCAAGGCATTGCACAGCCTGACTCATGCAGATATTTTGTACAGGAATGTAAAAGATCAAAGGCCACACATTTCAGTGAGAGCAAATTTATAAATTTTATCAAAAGCATTTCTACCACAGCACAGAGAAAAGCACTGGAGGAAGCTTGCTAGTTTCCATTCTTCTCTGGTAACAGAAATCTATATGAAAATATTTGTGAGAGCAGTGTTTAAAAAGATGTCATAATCTTAAACTCTTTTTGAGGGGGGTAGGGACACTATCCTAAGAATATGGAAAAGGGAACCTGGAAATCCCCCAAGACCTAATTGAGATTATGCATAATATCCAAAAAAGCGTATAGAAGTCTGATAAGATATACATATTCCCCACATATAGGACAACATGCATGCCATTTTGGATAATGGCCAGAGTTCACTCAAAGCTCAAATTAAGATGAAAATTAATAAAACATGGGAAAAGTGCATTAAATGGAAAATCTAAGAAAATGTTCAGTTCAGATTACAAAACATAGGATGTGAGCCAAATAGCAAAAATAAGCAAATTATTTTTAAAGTGGTATTTCTAAATTATAAATAATAAAATTACATTGAGTTCCAGAATCTTCTCCAAAGTAAGTCTTTTATCCCAAGAAAGTGGTTGTCCAACAATATTCTGTATTGTTTCCCAATGCCTTCGTTGAAGACTAGGATTCCTTAAAGATATGATTATAGGCAAGGATTCCTTAAAATCCATCAATGATCTTTTCATAGCTGGTAAAATAGTATTTTCCGGCAAGCCTTCAAATAAGAAAAAGTTACATCATAACACTTTTCATAAAATGTTTGAAATCTATCTGAGCTTTTGTTGATCTTTCCTTACATTACGTTGTTCTGAGTTTTTGACATACTTAGACATATCCTTGAAATCATAGATTCACATAATGTCAGAGTGCAAAGAAACCTTGGAGATCAACTAGTCTAAGCCACTGCTCAGTGTGAGAATCCAGTAGTACAACACGCCCAACAAAAGGTCATCCAGATTCTGTTTATATATTTCCAGAGATGGAAAGCCCATCACCTCCTGAGATGGCCCTCATGTCCAACCAAATCTACTTGTAATTTAAACCCATTGTTTCTTGACCAGTCTTCTGGAAATTTCTTGTCAGTTCTGCCAATTTTCTACAAGACAGCCCTTTAGATGGTTGAAGAAAGGGATCGTGTCTCTTTACAGTCTCATTTTCTCCCAGCTAAATATACCTAACAACCGAAACCATTCTTGATACTGCTGTCTAGGTTACAGTTTGTTCCCCCTCCCCCTCCCCACCCCCAACACACACACATCATTCACTGTGCAATTGATTGATTCAAATTGTTTTTGTCTTCCTATTATTTTTAGTACTAAAAATATTATTATATTACTATAGATTACAGAAATTTCCTTTTATAGTGAGCTCCCTTAAAAAGCAGTCCTGAATATCTTTCCCACCCTTCCTTTGAGTGCCCTGATTCAGGGCTTTCGGTGTCATTGTTATTCCAATGATATTCAGGTCTATAAATCTTTTGTAGTCCTTGATGACACTGTGTGTTCAGTCATGAAGGAATGTTTGATTGCATTTTGTCTGGAGTTTCTCCCATCACATCAAGTTAATATGAGTAAGATTGAGATAGTTATTTTGGTTTGATCATTCTTCCTATCCTTGCAGTATGCCTTTGTTTATCTTCCAGAACTCATAGCTTATCTCCATTTCCTTTGTTCCAGCCTCAGGATTTTGACTGATGATCAACTGACTCTGTGCCCAGTTTCTGATCTTACAGCAATGGTCCCTAATTTTCATTTGATGAATTTTCATAGGATCCTTGGATTTATGACAGAAGAGACTGCAGCTTTATTGATATATGCCTTGGTTGTTTCACACCTGGATTACTGCAATAGTCTTCTGGCATGTGTTCCCTATTTCTATCTCCATCTCTTGATCCTAGTCTAGAACAGTACTGTTCAGGCTGTTCTGAGCTTTCCATACTATTCTCATGCTTCATTGCAGTGCATGGCTCTTCACTGGCTCCCTGTTCAAACCAGAGCCCACTGTTTTTCATATTTAGAGTACTCTGATCACAAACATCTCAGTATCTGCCTGCCCTTATTTCTTCCCACAATCTTGCTCATTCCTTACATTCTTTTGGGCAGGGCTTCCAGTCATGGCTTCCAGGTTCCAGGTTTCTGGGGACCTGACCTTGTGACTCTAGGAGTGATGTCAAGCTGAGCAAATTATAGTTACCTGAGCTCTCTTTTTTCCCCAGTTGCTCTTCTCTAATCCTCTGGCACTATCCCTGTTGTCCAGGATTTGTTTAAGATCACAGAAAATGATACCACTCCAAGATTATATCCATAGGCTCCTTCAAGATTCTTGGATGTAATTGGTTTGGTCCTGGTGACTTAAATATAATGGCCAGATACTCCCTGACAACCCCTTTACTTACCTTGGGTTGCCACTCCCTCCTTATATCGATCATACCGCTTTGGTCCATTTAAACACAATTCTCTCATGAAAGAAGACCGAAGCACAGTAAGACTTCTGCTTTTTCTCTCTCAATTACCTGTTACTATCCTATCATCTTTTTCAACCAGTGGGCCAATTCCTTCCTTTTTTCCCATTTACAACTCATGCAGCGAAAACCCTTTTTATCTATTTAGCTTCCTTTGTAAGCCTAACCTTTTTTTGTGTGTGATTTAGCCTTTCTGACTTCCTTTCTGCAGATATTGATCACTTGCTAGTATGCTTCTTTGGTGGTTACACATAGCTTCCATTTCTTATTAATGTCCCTTTTAATTCTTAGCCCAGTAAAAAGCTCTTATGCATCAACAAGTTTCCTAAACTATCCTCTATCTTTTTCTCATTGACATGTTGTGCAATTTAACTTCCAGTATCTAATTTTTGAGATGTTCCCAACCCTCCTATGTTCTGTTTAACCTGTTAATTTCTATCCATAAGATCCTGCCTAGTACATCTCTAAACTTGTTGAAACTGGTTCTCCTGAAACCTAATGTACATATATGGCTGTGCTCTAATTTCTCTTTCTATACTATCTTGAACCCCCTCTGACACCAATCCACTGTCGACTTTATATTAAAGCTATTTTACTATCCCTAATTATGATCTTAGTTATAATAATTAATAACAATTAATTATTGTAACTAGCAAGTGAATATTTACTAATACTCCACATAACTACAATCCAAACATGTAAAAGTTTCAACACAAAATGGTTAATCCTTGAAGTTTAAAAAGTATTTTTATACAATAAGTCAATGAAAAAGGAAAAAAATTGTAAAAGCATGACTTGTATGCTCTTTGTATAAATATTGCTTTGTTATCAATGCATCAAGTCAAAATGAACTTTAAAAAAACAGAAAAGATAGACTTCCTTTGATAACACTTCACCATTTGGCTAAAACAAAACTAGTTATTATTTAACTTAAAAAATGATTTATAAAATATTATAATGAATTCATAATTATTGCAATTATCATGCATTTTACCTTTTTCAAGGATATGAATTATCTGCATGAATCTGTTAACATCCCTTTGAATTATATCTACATCAAGATTCCAAAAGATCGTGTGTTTCCACTTAAATACAAGTTTTGTCCATTCTTCATGAGAATCCCATAATAATTTGCGCAATGCTAGTTCACTTTGAATTTCCGAGAGTTCAGCATTCACCCTCTGAGAATCTCCAGCCTGACTTCTGTGTGACAGCTTTTCCACAGACACCGATTTCATGTCAGTAATGGAACTGTCAAGCACATTCTGGTAATTTGCATACTTTAAAATGTTCTCACTGATAACTGCTGCTTCTTCAATAAGGTTTTCAATCATCTCTTTAGCTGTTTTAGGCAAAGTTTCGATAAGGAGAAGGACAGGGTTTCTCACCTAAACAGCAAAATGAATAAAAAATTAATGACAAAAGCAAATAATTATTTTTGGGCAAAAATAGGGAAAATACTGACACTGAACAAAGTTGCGTATATTCCTCCTCCACTAACAAATACAGTGGTACCTCTACTTACGAACGCCCCTACATACGAAAATTTCGAGATACGACCAGCTCCGGCACCAAAAATTTACCTCTACTTACGAACTCGCCTTGACTTATGAACCGGATCCGCGGCCATTTTCCCTGCTGCCACGCGGTCGCGGCTTCCTGTGGGCGAGATCGCGGTAGCAAGGAGATGTTCGGTGAGGCTCGTGGTGTGTTTTGTGGTGTTTTGGAAGGTTTTGGAACGTGC